CCTGAAGAGCCCTGATTGTTACAGTAAAATTGCTCTCAACATGAAGAAATCGATTCCGGCCTAAGCCTTAATAAATTAATAAATTTCAATGTCTCCAGACCCCTTAGGGGTTTCTCGCGCCTAGCTAGTTACGCCCCTGGTTCGGGTAACTTTTAGTTTAGACAAAGTCGTGTTGACACTTATATAGTTATATTTACAACTAGTTCAATTCAATTTATTACAAGTTAAAAACAAACAAGTTACACACTACACTAACCCGCAAGTAGTTAAAAACTAATCTAGGCGGGTATAGTGTTGATTAGAATATATATTTTATAGTACATAGTCAGTGTCGAAAAGATACATTATTGTGCAAAATAGAAAGAAAAGAAAATAAGTAGTTTAGACAGCATTGTTGATTGTGAAACTACTCATAAAAAGTTGCAAGAAAAATTGTACAGCAATAGTCTGGGAAAAGTTCACAAAATGGCAGCATTGTATAAAGACTATATTCTATAAATATTTATAAAATAGCCTTTTAAAAACGCGGGCGCTGATTGGTCAAAAGCTCAAAAAACTCGTGTTTCTATATAAACTCGATAGAAACACGGGAAACTGATTTTCACGCGGGTGCGTGGTTGTGCAGACAAAATACAAACAATATTTAATATTGAAAAAAGTTGGAAAACTTCCGAAAACGCCGAAGAACCGTCACAAAAAAGGCAACGCTTTGATAACTTGAAAGCGAAGACCGAAAGCACAAAGTATAATACAGCATACGTTGTATCTGTTTGACTGTTTGTCAAGGTAAGACATTTTAATTTTACTTTCTTTATCTTTTTAAAAAAATATTTCCTGGCGACGTTTTTAATCATGTTTTAATATTATAGTCAAATTTTTCTAATCTGTGACCGCCGTGTTGGGGGAATGGGAAACCAGGAGTATAGTGTATTGTACAAAACAGTAACGGGGGAAATGATAAAAAGATGGCATTCTGAAATAAATTTCGGTCAAGGTACAATAGTTACCTTGGAGTTACTATCGCAAGCAAAGTGCTGCCTCACTCCCTAGGGATCAAAGGCAGCATGCACAATTTGCTGAATAAGGGGCTGTTTATATGACCAGACAAGATGTGAGGCGGGATTATTTTGATGTACGATTCAGAAAAAAACTACAAACAAAAGCTTGTTTAAGCAGCAATAATAATCTTAACTACAAGATCTTCTCTACAACATTTAAGTTCTGTTAACCAGCATTTGAACTTTCCAGGGCAGTACGCAGGATTTTTTCACCAGGGGGACAGTAAAGCCTATATGCCGAAAAAAGTCCCAAATATCCAAAGAATAATTAATAATGACATTCTAAAAATCGTATATATAGTTTTAGGGGCAGTTTACTCCCCTGCCTCCTCCAGCTGTGTACGCCTCTGGAACTTTCGTTTAGCGTAGTGACTTATTTCAATATATCAAAATCACCCCGCCTTCCAACATGTAAACAGCCCCTAAGGGGCTATTTATATGGTCCCGCTTACCCGGGATTCGATAAAGTGTGACGTCGGCCCTGAGCAAAAGTTAGATAACTTTAAATATTGTTTAAACGAAATTAGGAACGCGCTAGAAGTTGTGTAGTGGATTTTTTGTCTACTGATATATGGAATTTCATACAATTTGTAACGAGGAATTTTGTTGGATCATGAAGTGCGACTTATTTCAATTGCTCAAAATACGTCACACTTAATAAGTAAGTGGGCCATATATAAACAGTCCCTAAGACGCTTGTTCTGGAAGTAGGAAAAGTGCAATTTGAATATTAAAAACCGTTTTACTAGTCAGGGAGCCACAGGTACAAAAGTGCATGTTTACTAACCATATCGAGGGGCAATTTCATTTTAGCTTTATCTTGTGCCTTTAGGCCTAATAAGTATATTTCTGTATGATGGACGCATTCGAATTTCTTGTGCCTTGTGGGCTCCTGCCAACACGTTTTTTTTTTCAATTTTCCTATAAAACTCTATTATTGTCAAAAAAGGTGAAATTTCAGGTTCATTTATTGGAAAAATAACTTATGTCATCAGAAAGTTCATAAAAAACTACATAGTTATTATTATGGTTACCTTGATTTTTCAAGTTCTTGTTGAGTTATGAGCGTTTGAAAACATATTTTCAGACTAGCGCCCAGGAAATTTGTGGCATTTTGAACTTTTTTACATTTTGAAGCAGCTGCAATAACTCAGAAATAACTCAAATTACCTGTAGCTTCCTGACTATACTTTTGGTATCCGTTAATTATTTTATTCTCGAAATAAGTTTGGGTATTTTGGGTATAAAAGGTTTCCCATTTCTATTCAAAACAAAGCATAGGCTGCTAGCGCTCATTGGCCAGGCGTGTCAAATGTCTAGATAACAATTCAATTGAATGTCTAGATAACAATTCAATTCTGCAGTTCTGCATGTCTGTGTACGGGCGACGTCACTCAAGTGCAATGTACTTATACAGATAGTGGCAGCACCGCGTATCTACGTGGTACTTTATAATTGGTTAAGATTGAGAATCAGACTGTAATAAGATATGCATGTTAATTACTTGCTTATTAAGAGTTGATGAATGCGGCAATATGCTATAATAATATACGATTGTCAAGAAAGTGAAACACCAGAAAGGCAGTAGTTAATGCTATTTTATTTCTCTCTTATTTCTTATTCCGTAAGTTCTTTGATTCCAGCTGATTGATTATCCCGAGTTCCTCTATTCCAAATTTGCTGTTTTCAAATTAATTTCTCAGATCCTCACTGCCTGGCATCCGTCTCAGTTCACCATATTCTGTTTCCCCTTCTTCCCTCGGTTCCTTTTTGTAAGCCTATTTCCACATTTTCCTTCCCCAACTCCGCCATTCTTCATTCTATATGCGCTTGTGTGATTTTTTCACTCTCCTGTTGTGGCACGCCCCAATTCCCAACTTCTCAAACTCGCTGTTTGTTCTACTCCCCGTTTGCTCAACATCCCAGTGCCGACACTTTCCGATACTCACATTCCCCCCATCCGGCCCCTTGATTCCCGATTCCCCAAGTGCCCTTACTGGACCTTCAGGCCTGGGGAGGCAAACAGTTTAGACAAACTAACATATGCCTTTTGCATGCTTGCCTCAGTAGTGACGCAAGATTTTCATATGAATTCGAGCCCTTTTTATCATAATAAAAAGGCTCATCCTCTCTGAGAAAGCTGCATCTGCCTACTTTCACTTATATTCTCTAACATTCTTGCCATCTCACCTTATAAATATCAGCACAAAATGTCCTTAATGTACATGTACACTTAAGGAAAAGGTCCTTAAAAATGCCTAAGTAAAATGTTAGTTTAGTTTAATTATTTACCAAACAATCAAAATTATTTACCCAACATTTTATTTTGTCGAAAGGTCTTCACCCAACCAATTTCTTCTCGGTACCGACCCTGCATATTAGACTAAAGCAGTTCAAGACAAGTTGTCGGTACCCGACATGCATATTAGACTAAAGTAGTTCAAGACAAGTTAAAGATTGTTTACAATATATGCAAGTTTTCAGTAGGAAGTGGCGAAAGGGATTTATTTCAGATTTTCAGGCATCAAGTTATCACTGGTTGAGTAATGAGCAGAAAGCGATTTATAACGTGACATTGCACGGTGTAATGCACAATCGAAAGACGAGACAAAAATCGTTTTCACAAACAAACAGGGCTCGGGCTTCCCGAAGAAAATTCTATAAGAGAGCTCTTTCGTGGTGTGGGTTTTGTGATGTGGATGTAAAGTTATTGGATAAAGCATTGTTGGCCGACATTAGAATTAAGTACTGACAAATACAAGTACAGCTATCACACTAGCCAGCTGTGTCACAGATCTTACAACACAGTCTACCATCACACTGATTTTGTTGGCATCTCACTCGATTGAATAATAGACAGTTGAAGGGTGATGAAATTATCGAGTGGAAATTTATAGACATTTATTAGACCTAACCACAACAGCCGCGAAAAATGCAACTATAGGACCCTGGCAGGAATCGAACCTGCGGCACTGCGATTCCGGTGAAGCGCTCGAACCAACTGACCCTTAATTCTACAGTTAACGTTCTACCATCAACACTGGTCTACTCTGGGCAGTGACGTAACGGAGGAAGAGGGGGCCCTTGGGGGCCCTGCATGTTGAATGTTGTCATTGTTCAACTGAGATATTATATTTATATTGAATACTTATAGAGGAAAATTCCGCGTGTCAATAACAATAACAGTCTCCACATGTAACAACTGATAAGAATAACTTTGTTATTAGTGTTATTTGAGCTACCGTTGTCGATGGAGGCTAATTTATTATTTAGTCAATGGCTGATGGGGCCCCCCGAGTAACTGTCGGGGGCCGTTAGTTTTTGAACTAACCATACCCAATGATCGTTACGCCACTGACTCTGGGATGGTAACTCGCGTTAACTCGCCGCGTGATGTTCCGAGTTAGGGAGATTTAAAGCGAGATTAGGTGATTTGAGGCGACTTTTGGCTATTTTTAAATTAAAATGCTGTTTGCCGTGCAGTGGCGTAATGGAGGAAGAGGGGGCCCTTAGGCATATTTGGTGTGGGGGTCTCTGTTGACTGTTGTCATTGTTTGACCATTGACTGAGATATTATATTTATATTGAATATTAACTGATAGAATGTTCTGGAAAATTCCATGTCAATAACGACAATAACAATAACAATAACAATCTCTAACACATGTACCATCAGATACCATTGTCGATGGAGGCTTTATTATTTAGCATTATTAATTTTGCATTTTCCCATATTGATTCTTAACCTGCATTTTTTACGTTATCTAATTTTCTGGGCGATAGGCCGTGACTGATGGGGGCCCCTAACTGTCAGGAGCCCTTAGTTTTTTTAACTAACCCTACCCAATGAGCGTTACGCCACTGAACGTGAATGACGCAGCTAAATAATCCATCTGGTCAAACATGCGAAAAACTTCTTAATGATAACATTTGTGATGATGCCCCGAAACATTTTTGGACAAAGTCATACCCTTCACAAATGTCGATCACCCCACTTTTCAAGAGGTCAGTAATATGTTCAACTAAATTTTTACTCTTCCAGCATAACGGCAATATCCTGTCCACAAGTTGCTCGGCAACCTTTTGGCAACTTTTCCTTGTGCAAGAACGTTTCTTCGAGGTGGAAACTTCTACAGTTTTAATTAATTAAGCAAGTATTTGGGTTTTTTCTCTATAATTCAGCAATTTGAACAGTAATTATCCAATTATGCTAGACTAAGTATAAACTTCGATGGAGGTATATTTATATTTTTGTCCTTTTACTATGGTTTAAGCTCGGTATTGAACAATTAAACTTGAAAGAGTTCTCTATTACGTAATTTACACGACATTTAATACATCAGCACCAGCTGACTGAACCATTGGGATCTTCTAACGCATTTTAATATTTGTCGCATCAAACAGAATCTAACATTTGACTGCCGGCACTAGTTGTTGGGTGCCCATTTTTTCACGGGTTTTGGTTTTAGTTCTGCTGGGTGCCTCTAACATCCTTCTCCATGATCTGATAAATTGAACCAAGCTAGTGGAGTGCCGGATTGATAATATCACACTCCACATTCTCCGTCCGCGCACTCCTCGCATATATAGATAGACGCAATCGTACCACAATACTGGACCTAACATGACGTACCGCATTCGCGCACGAGAGAAGACCGTCACCGGAAGTTGACAATTTCTGTCAATCTGTGAATCTGTGGAATTCTGTGCTCGAATTATTGACAACCACGTACTGTTTGTTTTTTATTTACATTACAGTTTCTGATCTTTGTGTCATTCTTGTATTAAATCTATAAATTTTGTGAGGTTTATTCATGGCTGCAGATAATAACAACGATGGGCCTCCTCCAATCGAACCTGTACAAAAGAAGACAATTTTAAAGAATGAAACTCCAGCATTTGTGTCCACGGCCGCCAGTAGTGGTAGGGAATTTCGTTTTTTCATGCACAAAAGGCTATCAGCTTATGTTGTTGATATACTTTGAATCACTGCAATAGCTTGGTGTTGCTGTCCAGTACAGTTTCATTCATATAGGAAATATTGCTGATTATTAGAAATGACGTCATCATATTAAATCGTGACTGTCAAACGTAGTTTATAAACCATTATTAGGGCCTGTTCATATGGGCAAAAGTTATCCCGGTTAGCGAGAAAACGTTTCGACTAGCCAAATACTTTTGTTCTGTTCATATGGAGAAATGTTATCCCGCTTACCGGGTAAAGTTTCCGGCTGTGATGTAACACTGAACATCAATTGAATTGAAAAGTTGCTGACACGACAGAAAGTTATCCCGCTAAGTGGGAAAGTTATGTTCGTATGGGAAAAGCATTATCCCGGTCACCGAGACCTTGACTGTCAACAAGCGAGATCTCGGTAAACAGGAAAACTTTTTGTCTCATATGAACGCAGTGTAACTTTTCATATTATTTTCATAACAAGGCAAGATCTGGCTTGTAAACTTGTTGAAATGTTTTTCTCGCTAACCGAGATAACTTTTGTCCATATGAACAGGCCCTTAGTGAAATTCAGATTTTACTTCTACCACCGTTTACCGCTACCATTAAGGGTCCATTAGCCAATCAGATGCATTTAATATATCCGATTAACCAATGAGATGCATTAAGTGAACTAGGCAATTTGTTTGTTGGTTGTCATTAATGTATGAGTCAATCTGGCATTGACCCAAGTTGAGCTCAGTATAGGCTGGAGTTTGATGCAGACTTATTTCTGTCTATAATTTCACCCGGCTAACCGTTTGAACTTCAGTTGCACATAAAAATGTAGACCAGCTCAAGAACAATAAAATTTGGCTCTTGGAATTTTTCTGGCTGACAATTAACAATGTGCATGTTGGCTCTGTTTTTAGCCCACACTGCTTGACATTTAATCCATTTCTTTTGCATACTAAGTTGAATGTACTGCAGGTTGATTTAATTTGTACATAATGTACAAGACATGGGGGTGAATAAATGCCCATGATTGTTGTTTAACCCATTGGGTCGCAGCACTCTCCCCCAGTAAAATAATAAAGTATAGGGCGCATCTGGGCCGCATTGCCACTTAAAGGGTTAATTAACCCATTGAACGCCAGTGCTCTTGCCTAATTGATGCGTAACATCATAGATGTGGCATTAGAAATAGTAAAATAACAAAGTAGCTAGGGTGCAATTGATGCAATTTAATAGTAATTTATATAATACCAGTACTTAATATAAATATAAATGGTACTAGATTAAAGGTCCAATGATCTACAATCATGTTGCCACCATAATGTATTTTGAATTGATGTTACAAGTGGGTGGGTTTTATCTGGAAATATTATCCCACAAGCAACATTTAATGTCACCGGTGGGTACATGTGATAATGTCGATTCGATATTATGTGTGGCAAATTGATTATGGACATGGCCCCTTACACACCCATTGCATGATGGTGGCATTAATTACAATATGGTATACTCATATTAAAGTCAGTATTTCAGCCATACAATATATGCTTGTTCGAGAGACAGATTAGGAAGCTTCCTTATAAAATCTGAATGCAGAAATAGTAAATACTATCCTGTGCACGTGAATGTGAAAATGGGGTAGGGATAGAGGAATAAGATTGAATTAATTTAATATTAGACAATGCTAAATGGCCAAATATTGAAATGTAACGTGGATTAACTTTGCAGTTCTGCTGTTCTTGGAGAAATATGGTTGGTTTGTGCTATTTGGCATTATTGCTGCTATTTTTATTTGGAGTAAATTGGAACCTTACTGGAGGAAGTGGAAAGAAAAACGAGATAAGAGAATTGAAGAAGAAAACATAGGTAAAACGTAAAAGTGATGAACAGCGCAGTTGTAACACTCAATAATGAAAGCATTTTAGGCTTCGATCAGGAATAATATCCATGCATGAATGTATAAATGTATAAAATAAAGTCTCTTACTTGAAATAGTATATGAATAGAAAAGTATACAAAGTGTTGTTCAAAAAACCATAATTTCAACTAATTTACTAGAAAAAATTGTCGCGGGCTAATTTTATCACCAAAACCGTCGAGCTGGAAAAATTAATTGGTGCCTCCCTCAATATCCTTTTCTGAAAGAATATTTCTAAGACTTTTTTACAATGCCAATTTTTGGCGATTCTTGCGAAGATTTCAATTTGGCGACCAGACTACTGTAGCTTCCAGCCTTCCACTCAAATCGCGTCCTATGAACATAGCTCAGAAGTCAGGTGAATTTTCAGCAAAAGTAAATTGTCTGAATCCAGTAATTCCAGGCCCCTGATTGAAGTTCTTCATGCGTCGATTTGTGTTCAATTACCCGACCACTCAGTCCGTCCCTGCTTGGAGCATGAAAAATAAGGAAGGAAGTGCCGAAGCACGCAAATTAATAAATTTATCAATTGTAATCTGTAACATATGCAGCAATCCTGTCTGAAATTCCTAAACCTTTTACGCCTCACAATGCGGCCGTTTATGACAGGATTGAAAGTCGAAAGACATGTAATAAAAAGCTGACCAAACGAATAATACTAAAATTATACTGTCTCGTAAGTAGCTCGATACGAAGCACAAAAACCCCATTATCCCCTCTTTGGCCTCTGATATCTGCCTTGGAGTAAACAGTTCTTTTGGTACACCAAAAAATAGAGATTCTTTTTCAAAAGCGATTTAATTAATTTTTGGGGTTGACACGTCGAAATCCATTCCAGTCTGATCCAATCCAATCCAGTTTGAAATCCAATAATGTCTTTTAAATATTATTATGTCTATTGCCATCTCTTATAGATTTTCCCCAAGTTTAATATATGTTTTAGTAATTGTAATGTGTATTTGTTGGTTTCATTAGATCCTGCACGTCTGGCTCGATCTCAAGAGAATATGGAACTATCAAGAAGACGGATGCAAGAGACAGTGAATGCAAGAGCAGCAGAACATACTGAGAAAATGAATGAAGTAAGTGTAAAGCCCATTTTTCCACCAGGCGAATTTGTTCGCGCGAACAGTAAAAAAGTAGGAACTGATCCAACTTTTTTGTTGAATTTTTTCGCTGACCAATCGATTACATTGGCAAGATTTGTTTCTCGTTTCGCGCGAATAAATTCGCCTAGTGGAAAATGGCGCGCATCAATATGTGCTGTCATTATTACTGCAGACTAAAGGTATGTTTACACGCCAGCCTCGTACCCAGGCGCTTTTGACGCGCGCGCGCGGGTGGAAAGGGAAAATTCGTAGGGAAGCTACGTGCAATTATTCGCCATTAAAATATTGATATTAATTAATTAATTGCAATTGAAAATATTCGCCATTAATTGCAATTGAAAATATTCGCCATTAAAACATTCAGCAAAACCTAAAATCGGCCTGCGAATCGCAGCCTGTAAAAATACGTAAAATTGTTTAACAACGGACGTAAATTACGTGCTGTACTTAATTTATTACATTTATTGTGTTATTTAGGTTAAATAATTATGTATATATTAAAACCCGTTACCCGCAGTCTTTTGTATGTGATTCAGTGAACTATAATAAAAACTGGAACGATAACTCGGGCTGTGTTTTTGAAGCCAAAGATGGCGGAAGATGAAGCACGTCTTCTATAGGTATAATGCCTATGCAATTTCCCTACGCGGAAATTCACTGAATTCAGTACGAAAAATCGGCATCAGTTTTAAAAGTACGGTATTTGTCAGTAAAAATGAGCATTTATGTGCAAAAATGAAACATCGATCGGAAAACCTTAGTCGCTGTAGGCTGCCATCTTGGTTTCACCCAATCATAGGGCCGTTCACCTGGAGTTATCGTTCCAGTATTTATACAGTTCACTGATATGATCCGACGCGACCATAAATTCAAGGATAAAAGCATCTGACATTGTATAATTATGACTTTTCTGTTCTAAAATATCTGGCGAAAAGCTTGTGCCTCTCCGTCCTGCTAGTAAATTATTATACGTACACGAAGTAGGACATGAACGTTGAAACCGCAATTAAATATCGTTGAATTTTACTTTGCTTGCATATAGAAACCTAGCAACCTGCAGTACATGCATGTTTCCTTTTATTCCATAACTGGAAAGTCAAATGTGATGGTTTGTCAAATTAAATTTGTTTTAGATGGATGCCCAAAAACGAAAGGAGAAAATTGACGATTGGGAGAATGTTCAAAAAGGTCGAGGTCGATCGCGACATTTAGTTAAACCAGACTATAATCCACTCAGTGGCACTAGTTCTGGCTCGTCGTACAGACCATCTAGCCGAGGGAATACAGGTATGGAACTATAAGTCCTTCTCAGATCTCAATTTTGAGCTACTGTAGTTTCGGCTTTCGGATATGCTATCCCTTTCAAGAGAACAATGATCAAGCGCAGAACTTGTTGCATTAAAAGTGAAAGCAGTTGACTAGATCACTTGAGAAAGCATTACAACAATACATTAATTTCATGGAATTCTAACTCTTCCGGAAGGCATCTGACTACCCTGCTTCCAACAGTTTGACTCAGTGGTTTGACTCGTATTTTTTGTGCCAGCTCTTGTTTGTTGTACCGTGTTCACCAAGGCGTAAAAAAAATACCCGTGGTTCCGGTTCCCGACCGACCCTATTTTTTTTGCCGACCCTATTATTTTTTCAACGCGATTGATCGTGCGACCCTATTTTCTCCAGGTGGTTGCGGGCTGCTCATACAGCGTACCAAAATGGCGTCTGTTGTCACACTAATTATTGACCCAAATTGCTTAAATTCGTCCATAGGAAATACGCATCTCTAGTTAATATTGATGTCGGGACTCTACTGCAAATCGCCCAGCAAAAAAACCGCCAAAACCGTGAAAAAAATATTTAAAAAAAAAATTATTTCCGGCCTACCGACCCTAATTTTTTCACGATATGAAACCGGAACCACAGGTATTTTTTTTACGCCCAAGCTTGCCTTTCAAGCTGGGAGACCCAGGTTCAATCCTTGGTCGGATCTCTACCACCAAGGTTTTAAAATAATTGAGAAGAAACTGCTACCTTTACATTGACATCAGTAAATGGATAGACTTTCGCATCTTCTCGGATAAGGACCGTTAACTCGTTTAGGTACCTAGGTAACTATTTAAGCTGTAGTGCAACTTATTTTTCAGTTTCTTGTTTTTATGGTTTGTTCCCGAGATATTTTAATTTGTTTGATATGTAAATGTGTGTGAATATGTCCGCTACTTTATGACGTCATGTTGGTTGCAAGCTCTTTAAAATGGTTGAATATCACTGCTATCATCCAAGATGATAATTTCAAACTTCGCTCACTGGTAAATGTGATGAAACCCTGGAGAAAAACGTGAACTGATATCAACAGTTTTTAGAGTAGTCAATACATTTATAACCAGTGTAAGTCGAGCTTGCAACCAACATGACGTCATAAATTAGCGGACATATTCACATTCATTTACATATCAAACAAATTGAAATATCTCTACAACTTAAAGAGTTCTGTAATGAATTGTTAATAATTGACATTTATGATAGACGGGTGTAAAGTGGGTGGAGTTTCTATGTAACAAAATGTATTCATATATTTTTCAAGTAAACAAGTTGTGTCCTTCAAACCAGCGCGTATTTGTGATTTAAGAGAGAGATAGATTAGAGACATTACAATACATTTGGTCCTTCGAACCCGAAGCAAATTACAGTCGGCCGACATGGATGTCGGAAAATAAAAAAAAATTCGAGAAGGACACAGACAAGCAACGAGAAAACTAATTCATACAGCAAACGAAGCTATCAACGCGGTGTCTGAGGCGGAAACGCTCAGTCGCGAGGACAAAGTGAAACTACGATTAAACAAGAATCTTTTGACGGAACAAGATAAAAATTTGGAAGAGTTTAATTCTAAAATATTAGCTGGGATAAAGAAAGTCGAAGATATCGAAGAAGAAGCGCTCGAGGCCCTCGAATTTAAGCAGGAAATACAGCGTGTTTTAGTACAAATCGAATTGTTGTTAGAAGGCGACGAAATAGCTAGACAGTCTAGACAAGAATCGCAAAATGTAGCATCGCCATCGCTCAGTGAAATTAGTACCAGTATGAAAAAGATGAACTGCAAGCTGCCAAAATTATCTTTACAAACATTCGACGGCGATCCAGCGAATTGGAGTTCGTTTTGGGATACGTTTGAATCGGCGGTTGCCAAGAATTCACAGCTCTCAGAAATCGACAAATTTAACTATCTCAAAGGACAACTTAGCGGAAAAGCGGCAACAACAGTAGCAGGTTTTTCAATGACGGCGGAGAACTACGGGGAAGCGATTAAACTGTTGAAAGAGCGATACGAGAATCCTCAACATATCATTTCGAGTCATATGGAGAAACTTCTGAAGCTAAATACAGTACACGATGCGAACGATGTATTGAAATTACGGGCGTTATACGATCAGATTGAAACAAACATTCGCAGTTTAAATGTGCTAGGCATAAAACCAGAGCAATTTGGATCACTTTTAGTTCCAGTAATCTTAGCAAAAATACCCAGCGAGCTACAAATCATAATAAGTCGAAAATTTGACAAAAATACTTGGGATTTTAATCTGCTTTTAGAAACATTTAAAGAAGAGTTACAAGCAAGAGAACGATGCACGGCAGTTTCACTTAATGCAAGTAGCAGTTTAGCGAATAAAGGTCATAATCGAAGTAACTTTGGCTATATGAAACCAAAGGGTGCATTTTCAGCGTCTAGTCTAATGACCGTGCATAAACAATCAATTCCGTGCGCGTATTGTAGACAGAGCCACGCCCATGCAAATTGTCAAGTTGTCACAGACATTAACGCGCGAAAACAAATTCTACAAAATATAGTGGCCTATGCTTTAATTGTTTGCGAAAAAACCACATTGTAAGAGAGTGTAAATCCCCGGGACGGTGTAGTAAGTGTCGAGGTAAACACCATACAAGCATTTGTGAAATCCATAATCGTAATAGTTTTATGATGCAAGAAAACGTAGTACGAGACACAAGAACCCAAAACATGCAACACACACAGTTTCCTACTACTCCACACCCCCAGATTCCTACTACCCCACACCCCCAGATTCCTACTACCCCACACCCCCAGATTCCTACTACCCCAGACCCCCAGATTCCTACTACGCCACACCCACAGATTCCTATAACCCAACGACAACAACAGCAATCCCATCAAAAAATACCTCGAGCGGAAGTTTCTGAAGCCTCAGTGGCTAACCCAACTACGAACTTGTACACAACAGCTAAAACCGGTATATTATTACAAACAGCTCGCGCGATTATATCAAACCCGAATGTTGGAGAACGTTCTAAGAACATTCGCTTAATTTTAGATTTGGGGAGCCAAAAAAGCTACATCACGGAGAGCTTGCGTCAAGAGCTTGACCTTACGGCAGTTAATAGGGAAACATTGGTTGTAAAGACGTCCGGTAAAACAACAGAGACGGCGCGGACTTGTGATGTTGTTCAGACAAGTGTGCGAGCTATGAATAGTGATCTTAATCTATATGTCAGTTGTTATGTAGTTCCAGTGATATGTTCACCCCTTACCCATCAACCAGTCCAGTTTGCCTCAAGTCACTACTCCCATTTAAGAAATCTCTACCTTGCAGATTCAGGAAGCAATGGTCAAGAGCCTTCTGATATTGATATGTTGATAGGAGCAGATTTCTTTTGGCATATTGTCTCGGGCAACGTCATACGGGGGGAGCACGGCCCTATCGCGATGGAAACGAAGTTAGGATACGTCCTTTCTGGCCCTGTAACAACTCCCCACATAAGCGATGACACTGTCACCAACTTTCTCACCACCCACCTTCTACAAGTTGACACAACCGAGCCTGAGGATTCATTGAATGTGGACTTACACAGTCAGTTGAAGAAATTCTGGGAATTAGAAGCGATCGGTGTTAACCCTAACAAGAACCCAGTACATGAACAGTTTAAGGAGACGATCGAGTTCAAGGACGGTCGCTATGAAGTATGTTTACCGTGGCGAGAAAGTCATCCCGTCTTACCCGACAATTTTGAATTGAGTGAACGATGCCTTGCATCCCAAGTAAAACGGTTGAGAAAGGACCCCGAGCGACTCCAAGAGTACGACGAGCTAATCAAGAAACAGATCGAGACAGGAATAGTTGAAAAGGTTCCCGAAAGTGCCAGTTGTTGCACGCCTGGAAAGGTACATTACTTGCCCCATCATCCCGTGATTCGCAGAGACAAGCAAACGACCAAGGTCCGTGTAGTGTACAACGCCAGTGCGAAAACCACCAAAACATCTCTAAACTCATGTTTGAATGCGGGACCTTCTCTTTTACCAAAGATAGTCGATGTTTTGATTCGTTTTCGTTTCCACAAGATTGGGTTGATAGCGGATGTAGAAAAAGCGTTCCATCAAATTTCCATATCCACGGAGGACAGAGATGCCTTGCGCTTTCTCTGGATAGATAACATTGCTAGTGAAAATCCTCGAGTATTAACTTATCGATTTGCAAGAGTAGTCTTC